CCCATTCCCTACAAGTAGATCACAAACAAAGCTTTGCTTAAAAACTATAGCATATATTGATTAAACCTATACCAACTATGTTGGTCATAGAAAACACAATTAAGTTTGTTTTCCGATTACTTAAAATAGAGGAAATGAACAAATTAGAAATGGAAGCACCAAATGAGTGAAAAAACCAGTGAACTACTTGAAGATACCTTCTTTTGGTGGTGCTGAGTCATTGCAAGCATAGCCGTCATCTGTGCTCGAATCAGCTTAGACGTAAAAATGATATCAACCGGTATATGGCTAATCCTCTTACCAGCTTCAATGGCTTCCTCTACACCTCTCGTGGTCAAAGGCACGTCACAACATCCCGTGAACAAGTTCTTCTCATTCCACAAAGACTCCCCATGACGAATCAATATCAAAGTACTCTCAGTCTCGGCTAATAAACAAGGTCACAACACCCACCACTAATAAGATAAAGCAGAGCACCGTGACCATCCGGATTTTTCGTAATCAAATCAAAACACATAGCTCACAAATTGAATAACATGAATCACATATACGCTGTAATATCAATAACGTAGCTAAAGTTAGCATTATTTATATTAGTTTGTTGAGTTACTAGGTGGTCACTCTCCTCAATAAAACTCATGATTGGATAGTTGTATTATGCATGCATCAAGAGTTATGAAGAAAATAATTCCTTACTTGATGAGTCATTAGAAATGGAGAGTGGAGCAGGGTCAACGAGGGAGGCGTGAGAAATGGAAGCATGAATGAGATTCAATTTAGGGTGGCGAGTATTGCGCGTTGAGAAGAACCTTCCGAAGTTTGTAGAAGATGGAGGCGCGAACACGTGAACGTCGGAACCAAGAAGTCTCGTAGGTTGGTATTTAAAAGTTGCAGCAGCCATCACGTCTTGCTAATGGCGAAATCGTAAGTGAAAAACCCTATTTGCACACGTGGAATTGAAAATTTTGAAGCATGTGAGTATGCAGTGTATATTTGAGAAAGAAATGCAGAAGAGAAAGATAGTGACAAGGGTTGGACAAGAAGACAAGAATGTGAAGAAATTGATTGATAGCGTGATAGTCAGAAAGTCTCGGCAAGGGTTGGGGATGTACGACGCCGTTCCGTGTTGTTAATGCGAATCAAAAATTATATGCCATATCCTTTCCTTTCAGCCAAAACAAAAGTTATTGAAAGATAAATAGATGAGCAAAAAAAAAAACTTAGAGGGAAAAAGAATCTAGTTTTTCATTTTTATTATTTTTTATAAATAATCAAAAACTTATATTATTATTTTTTCTTAATTTTTTCTAATGTTGTAAACTAATCTATACATATTATACAAGGAATATATTTTGGTAGTCACCTCTTAAGGTTTTCAATTTTTAGTGGATGGTTATACTCCTTGAATAAAAAAAAAAAAACTCTTATATTATTTCTAAATAACTATCCATAATTTATAATATTTGTCTGTGTATAACTATTAGAGGCACGAAGTGTCTGGACCTATCTAATTTGAATAAAATAATAATAATTATAAGAATCAATTACAATGGTAAGTTAAACTTTTTATATAATAAATTAAATTGACATTTCTTAGATTTCATGATATTGTAGATTTTTTTTTTATATATTGACTCTCGTTAATCATTTAGGCAATATGAAATTACTTATATATTATATTGATCTCTTAATTGTTTGAAAACACAGCACTATGTCACCTTGTAAAAAATGCTATTGTAAAAGTAAAAAAATAAAATAATATATATATATATATATATATATATATATATAGATAGATAGATAGATAGATAGATAGGTTATATGTATTTTTACAAAATCTCTAGAAGTGTTTGTTAATTTACTGTTTTTATAGTATGATGAATAAATGTTTAAATAGATATCAAGAGTGATCATTGAAATAATTACCTTATCCAAGATAAAGATGAATTGGATATTAAAAACATATTTCTTTAAGATATTTAAAACTTTCATTAAAAGTTATTTATATAAGTTAAATTGATTATTCCAATTCAACTTTTAGATAATGCAATATTTATGAATCTTGCAATATGAACATGACAATTATAATTCAAGGATTTATAGGTTATTATGATGTTTCAATTAATATGTATGTATAACTGTTAAATGTTTACCATGATCTTCATATTTCAACTACATTTATGTTATGTGTGAGTCAAACTTGATATATGTGTTGTTACTCATCAATGAAGAGTTATTTTTTTTTCATATGTATGCTCCTCTAATTTCCAAAATTAAAGTCCTTCTTGATCTCTTGTAAGATATCTCTTTTAAATACACTTATAAGGAGGGAAACAAAAGTGTTGATTGATTGTCAAAATTAAGTCCTAACTCAGTTGACAAATTTTTCAAATTTTTTTGGTTTATTTTCATAAGCACTTTAATTGGTTAAATCAATTAAAACAAAATATATATAGATTATTGAAACTCAAAATATGAAGGAGCTCGATCAAATCCAGAATCAAACAACATTAATTTGATAGAGAAAATGATTTTTTTTTTTTGTGTGTGAGAAATCAAATTACTCTACTTAAATATGCAAAAATGGGTGAGGTTTGAGATATGTAATGTTGTAGGAGGTTGACACCTATGGAAAGTTTCCATTTGAAATTTTTTACATACTATTTGGTTTGAGAGAAAGGGAAGAGAGATGAAAGTTTTTTATATATCTTTTTGTTTAGTTTAATTTTTAAGAGACGAAAAAAAAAGAAAATAAAAATAAATAAAATAACTCATAATTTTAATTTCCATTTGATGTCGAGAGATTTAGAAGAAAAATATGAAATTTTAAAATATTTTAAACATAATATCTAAAATATTTTAATTTTAAAATTATAAAAATATAAAAATAAATTATTTTTAAAAAATCTTTCTTATTCCCTTGTTAAGAAAAACAATAGTTACATCATTTTCCTCTCCTCTTTTAATTAAACACAAATTCTAACTCCTTAATATTTTATTTCTCTCCTCCAGGTCCCTCACCTCCATTATTTCTTACGCCCAACGCCATTCTTTAGCAGGTTCTATGCCATTGCCGTTTATCGTACTGCAAATCATTCTATTATAATTTGTTGTTCCATTCCTAAACCATAGTGCATGGATTTGATGATCAAAGCTATCGGGTATGCTATGCTATGCCTGTGATTCATCCGGTTCAGGTTGGCCAAATACAAGTCCTAATTAAATCTTAGGAGAAGGTTGAGGACTTGAGGTTTGTAACTATCTTTTTTTCCTTTTTGGTACGTAACTATGGTTGTCAGAAAGAATTAATACCCCAAGAAAGTTCAATTGATGGCAGAGAGTAAAATGTGTCCTGTCAACAAGGAAAGCAGAACAACGTGGGGGGAGCCAGGAATATAGTGGAGTCAATAGAATATTAGGATTAATTTAATTCAAATGATAATTGTGATGTGACAAAAACAAATATCACGTAACTCCAAGCGGTAAGGGTTGATTCACGCTTAAGCAAGGTCAGGGTTCGAATCCTGCCTTGTGTATGCAGCCGCGTTAGGATACTCAAGGGACGAACAAAAAAAATGTTACAAACATCTCATTACCCTTCATAATTTTTATATCTCTCTTTTATATTATCACCATTTAATATTTATTATTGTACTTATTTGCTTAAATTTCTCTCTGTTTTTAAGTTTAACACAGGATGAGGCTGTTAAAATTTGAACTTCAACAGTTCAACTAAACAGATATTTGTTTTAATTTTTATAAAAAGAGTTGTATATGTTAAACAGAATCTAACATATAATTTTCTCAGTTAAAATATAAAAAAATCTCTTAAATTTTATTTTAAAACTCACTCATTATTACATTGAATGATTTTAAGTTACCAACACATCCAAATCATTTATATCAACATATAAATGGATACTTCTTTTTAAATTTTTTTATTTATTTTCAATTAGACCATTAAATTTCTTCAATTGCTTAGAAAAAAATTATTAAAAAAAAAGCTTTTAATGTATTTTCTCACATGATTAATAATCTCTTTAATCCTCACATTTCGATAACAACTCATTTCATCATTTCTTCTTTTATTTTTTTCTTATTTTTAAAACCCCATTAAATCAGTAACTTTCTCATACTTTTTCATAACTATTCACTATTCACTTTATTATTTTTTATTTTAATTCTAATTTTTCAAATATAATTAAAAAGTATGGAGTGTTTCCTCCGCTAATAGTTAAAAAATGTGAAAACAGTGACTTGTTTTAAGTCACCATGAAATAATAAAAGGCCATCAAACATAAAAGATTAAAAATTACATTTCTTACTTTGAATTTTTTAGTTATTATTAAAACTAAAATTAAATAAATTAAATCACATTATCTCTCTATATATATATTATTTCTTTATTGTATCTTTATAAAAAAATCTGATTTTTTTCGTAACAATTGAATTTATTTATGTAGGTGGGACAATAATGCAATTGAAAATAGTTTTGATGAAACATATCATTATTGGGTTTATTTTTAATTTTTAATTTTATTGTTTGTGACAAAGTTAATATTTTTTATGAAATATAATTACAACATCATGTTGAAACTTACGATTCAAACTTATAATTGTGTTCATATTATATTAATATTATATATAAAAAAAACTAAGCAAAACTTAATTATTAGATTCTAGTTATAAAATAAAAATAATTTTGAAAGTCATGAAATAAATTTGAAAAAATCAAATAATTAATTCAAACTAAATTATAAAATATCAGTTTTCTTAGAAAAAAAGTTTGATATTACATAACCAAAACAGTTATTAGTTTTATATTTCATTTAAATGGATTTCATAAAAAAAAATAATAACCACTTTTTTTTTATCCTTGTGAAAATCATCTATGATATACTTTAATGAATAATATACTAATTTAATAGGTTATTATACTTAATAATTCAACTATTAACAATAGATAATATAAATATAATTATCTAGAATCAACATACTTATAACACCTGAATATACATATCATAATATATTTACACACAACACATACACATAATAATCTTGCACTAAAATATAAAAAAAAAAATCATAATTGACAGTCAAGCAATGCTACTAACATTTATTTACACTAGAGTAACTCAAAATATCAATACCATTATCACTGGCATGGCCTCAAATTAACTTCATCAATAATCTATTTTTATTTTGCTCTCATATCAAGTATGATCATCATAGTTCAATTACATGGAAACATGTAAGGATAAAGTAATATTCAAAATAATCAACAAAACTAGTATAAGATTGAAACTATTATACTATCAACATAAACAAACTTAACATGTTTTAACATAAAATCAATCTACAAACTATCAACACAATACAATGTGATTCTTGATTAGAACAACACAATAATCCAACTCATCATAATTCAACATAGCATGTGGATAACAAAAACATCAATACACCACATGCACAACTTATTATTCAACTCGAGCATTATTACAACATGGCATATGTATCACACGACTCATCAACTCAACCACATATGTACAACAAATCAATTATATGTGTTATCACACATTTTAACTAAGAGATATCCTACAATACAAGTTAACAATTTAAGTGATTTGACTTTATTAAACCAACAAAGCGCGATCTTTTCGATCTAGTTAGATCAACAGCCAATTTGGATAAAAAAATCTACAACAACATGATTTCTCGAATTTTATTATTTAAATTAATAATTCTAATATTTTTGTCAAGATAGAACAACTTGGGTGTGAGTACATCACGATACTAGCTTGCATAATTAAGCCACATATGAGATTAACTCTTCGGCTATCCTCTAAATACTACGCCTTTTTAGTATTTAGTTAGGGATTTTGGTCCCTAACCTTGTAAGTTACTCGATTGGTCACTTCATACATATATTCCTTGACCTTGCACACATACCACATCAGCTAAAGTCCTAGAGGACACTCAACAATTCACTTTAAGGGTCAACTTCCTAAGAAGAGTTTTTCAACAATTGACCTTGTAGAGCACCACAATAATATCCTCAAAATGGAATATCCAACTTTTAAACAACCTCTCTTATAACTCTAAGCCTATCTACTCAACACAAC